AAGCCGTCGCAGGATCTGATGAACGACCTGCTGGACTTCGAGAACCCGGCCTACTCCAACCTGCCGCCCATTGACGAGGGTGAGATCCCGATCGACATCCCGCAGGATGGCACCCACGCCGTCCAGCTGTGCCGTACTTTCAGCCCGGACTACGACCACTACGGCTTCGCGCCGCAGGGAGAACAGTCCATCTTCCACGCTCGCATTAAGGCCATCCGCAACGCGCAGAACTACATCTTCATCCAGGACCAGTACTTCATCCTGGTGCCGGAGCTTCTGGACACTATCATGGAGATGATGCCCAGCATTGAGCGTCTCATTGTCATCATGCAACGCACCGTTGAGGCCGAATACACGGGTTACGCTAAGTATCTATATGACATGGTCGCTCCGATCCAAGAAAAATACCCGGACAAGTTCAAGCTCTACACGACCAAGGAGTCGAAGCAGCTCTACATCCACAGCAAGCTGGTGATTGTCGACGACGTGTACGTGTCGCTGGGCTCGGCCAACTGGAACCGCCGCAGTATGACGAGCGACTCGGAGATCGGTATCAACATCGTGGACACGGAGCTGGTGCAGTCACCTGACAACATCACGGTGAACAAGCTGGCGCGTGACTTCCGTATCCAAAAGTTCATGGAGGCGACGAAGCTCACGTACGACGAGCTGGACGCGATGACTTTCTTTGAGGCTTGCGACGCGCTGGAGACTGCGGCGCACGACGACGGCTCCAGTCTGATCGAGCCGTACGCTGTTGAATTTAAGCCGCAATTCAACCTGGTCTCGGATGGTTGGCGTCAAGTCATCGACCCGGATGTGGTCCCCGAAGATGACCCGGCCAAGAAAATCAAGAACTTTTTCAACGAACGCAAGAATGCCGAAAAGTAGAAGTTGAGATGAAGCTGACGAGTGAATTCTTGTGTTAAATAATCAAAATGACGAGTGAATTCTTGTGTTAAATAATCAAAATGTGTTGCACCTGCAAGAACAGGCACTATGAACTGCTGCTGCACAAATATCCTGTATGTCCGGAGGAACAAGTGGCATATGCTGGCAGCGATGTGCCGACTGTTCTTCTGGCCCCTGTAAGCACTGCTTATAAAGCGGATATGTCTTGAATTTACCAGGCTATCGATAAAGGGTTAACCTTTTTCAATTACTACATTATTGTAACAGTACATATGGATACTTGTTCTCATGTTCTATTGTACTTGTTCGTAATACCATAAAGGGTATTTAAATTTAATAACCCTTTCTTCACGTTTTTGCTTTCAAGATTCGCTCCGATTTTGGCCACCAACATGACGACTTGTTTACGCCGCAAGGATGCGTTCGCATGCATTTTCCACCGTCCTCGTCATGGAGTGAACGCTGTACGCATTGTGCCTGATCTCCTTCGCCTGCGCCCCCGGTCCGGCCGCTCAGTACGCGCCGAACTTGAATTCTTTGTTACACCCCGATGCTGGAAGAACTAGCTTTGGCCATGCTGACAGCACGGTGCTGCATCTGCAGACAGGCCTCAACTCAGCACGAGACCATCGATGTGTCCAATTTGAAAACCGTCGCAGATTATGACCGTTGCCTGGACGGCACCTTGAATCGTGCATCATCACGAATCTTCCACCCTGCTTTGCTGCTTGTCACAATAGAATTTGCTGTGCGCTGCGAACGCGATGCAGCTCCAGCTTTCTCTCCGTGCCAAGTGCATCCTGCTCGGCGTCCTTGCTGCTGCCGCCGTGATCGCGTGGTTGGTGATTACACTCGCGGACACCAAGCCGGATCTTCGTCCAGTGGTATTGTTGACAGGCGACTCGCTCACGGAGCATGGCACCAATGTGGAACTAAGCGGGTGGACAGCCATGCTGCAGCAACAGTATTCGCGCACCGCCGACGTCGTATCGCGAGGACTCCCAGGTTACAACACGAAATGGTTCCTAAAGTATATTATACCGACAATCGAGCGCGAGATCAGGAAGGAAGTGTACGTGACGCCGTCGCTCATTACCGTTTGGTTCGGCGCCAACGATGCAGCTTTGGCTAGTGGCTACGACTCAGAGACACACGTCCCTATTGCAGACTACAAGGAGAATCTGGAGAAGATCGTTCGCCAATTTTCGACAGTAGCGCCCCGCGCTGATATTTTGCTTATCACTCCTCCGCATGTTAATGATTCCGCAAGGGCTGAAATCGCCAAAGGGCAGAACGGCACGATTGATCGCACGAATGCCATGGCAAAGAAATACGCTCAAGCTTGTATCGAGGCTGGCACCAGTATCGGCGTTCCAGTGCTCGACTTGAACTCGTATTTCAACGCTATGAACGAGACGACACGAGACGCACTGTTAATATCGGACGGTCTACACTTCAACTCGTCTGGAAACCAAGAGGTTTACAAGCAACTGAAAAGCAAAATTGAAGAGGTTTTCCCAAGTTTAGCAGCGAAACTCAAGCGTTGGCAGTTCCCAGGAGCGACCAAATATTCAGAGGCAGATCCATGGACAGAGGAGGATGGCGAACGATGAGAGAGTAAGATTAAGAGTCTTCCGTGGATACGAATTAAACATAACTTACGTGTCTAGACGTTCGGCTCAATATTAATTTATTTTTTGCTTAGATAGGAACAGGCCTTTGGCAACTTTTCATATTGTGTATTCAGAAAGCTACTTTACATTTGACTGCCCTGGTTTGTGGATCCTGGTCGTACATGTAGTATTAATACTTTATAAAGGACAATAAACAAATGAAAATGTTGCATATTGTTGTGGAGAACCTTGTCATCTGAGCTGCTTTCATTGATGTCAACTTTTACATGTATATTCTCAGGGCCACCAAGCGCGACATGTCCACCTGATCTGCTTTGAATTCCAGCACAAAAGGAGTTTACGGTACCCATTGTGTTAAGATTTCTTTTGTGAAGTATATGTAGTGGTGCAAGTTGCATCGCAACACCAAATACACCTTGAAATTGAGATAACATGGTTTCAGTACCATTGAGCATGTCAAACAACGAGGGCGGCAGAGATTAAACGATTTACCGTTTCAACTTTTTTTTTAACAAACTTGTAAGTCCGTCACTTGCAGATTCGCGCCATTGTCAATGGCCTATTGGCACTGCCAGTGAATCAGCTGCACAAGCTTGATTTCGCTAGTACAAAGCGTGTATGAACTGTACCCCTTCATCATCTATGTCCGGGTTGACTCTGATGTGGAAAAACGTCGCAGGATTTTGGTGAAGTATATTGTCCATGCGTGAGCATTCGCCCGTGGTTCATCCTGAGCGATCTTCCACCATGCACGCCAAGCAGCTCACAATCGAATTTGCCGCCAGGATGGTAGTATCTCTCCGCGTCAAGTATGTCCTTCTTGCCTTGATGGCTACCGCTGCGGTGATTGCGTGTTTGATCATCGTTCTTGCCAATGTTAGACCAAATACCCGCCCAGTGGTGCTGTTGACGGGTGACTCGCACACTCAGAAAGGCACCAATCCAGCTATGAGCGGCTGGGTAACGTTGCTACAAAACCGGTATGTGATGACCTCAGATGTTGTAACTCGAGGATTTCCAGGCTATAATACCAAGTGGTTTCACAAGTATATCGCACCAACCATCGAGCGAGAAATCCAGAAGGGCATTTACAATACTCCGTCGCTCATCACGGTATGGTTCGGCAGCAACGATGCGGCTCTGGCCAATGGAACTTCGTCAACAACTCACGTCCCGATCGAAGACTATAAGGAGAACTTGAAGAAGATCATCAGACAGTTTTGGATAGCAGCACCAACCGCGGATATTTTGCTGATCACTCCGCCGCACGTCAACGATACTGCAATGGCCGAGCTCTCTACAGAGAATAACGGGACGATCAACCGCACGAACGCCATGGCGAAGGAATATGCTCGTGCCTGCGTGGAAGTCGCCGAGTCAGTCGGTGTTCAGGTGCTGGACTTGAACACGTTCTTCAACGCGATGCCAGAAACGAATCGAAATGAACTGCTCCAGGCTGATGGTCTTCATTTGAACGCATTGGGCAACATTCTAGTCGACGAGCAACTCCGACTCAAGATTGCCAACGACTTTCCTCGTTTAGAGAGCAATCTTGAGGACTGGCAATTCCCAGCAGCTAGTCACTATGCTGAAGAAGACCCGTGGACAGCAGACAGTGTCAATTGATGGCTGCAGAAGATTCTTCTAACAAGACTCGCAGGTTTGCTCATACCCGCTTGAATTCGCCCCCTAATAGAAGCACAAGTACGGAAGTGGGATTGTCGTTGAGACAATCAAGACGCGGCGTCTCCGTCAGAGACTCCGAATCCGATGGCAAATTGCCGCGACAAGGATACCAAATCTGGGCCCTGTGCAGATTGATCTGCAAGCAGCTGGAGGTAGATGGAAGATACACGAATGCTTCATCTGCAGGACGAAGGACTGCGCCAAGAACATAACCCATGCTCACAAATTGCTGTCCGAGGGATGCAATGTGCAAGTAAATACGCTCTGTGCAAACACGCGTGCTTTAATTACTGTAGGAAGTGTTTTTGGTACGGACACCCAAACCCTCCTCAAATGCTAACAACACCCTGAGCCAATAATAAGCGCTTTCGTAAGGATTAATTCGAAAAACCAGCGATTTTTATCCAATCCGACCCTTTTAGGGTTAAATGAAAAAAATCCAACTTATTTCAGGCCTTCTCCGGATTTTCATGGACTCTCGGAATAAGTGCCAATACAAAACTCCATATAAATGCTCTCTTATCTCATAAGAGCCTTACATACCGGAACCAAGTGAGCACTAATGCCGTTCGTTGCCCGGGAAGCTCTGGATATTTTTTGCGCTAAAATAAAAAAATTGATAAAAAAGCAACATTAAAAATGTGCTTTCTAAAAACTATTTTTAAAAAGTTTTTTTTAAGTCTTCTAGAGGAGTCTAGCTAGGCGCTTGTTGGCTATGCGAAAAACTAATGCATGAGATGAGGCAGAAGCTTATATCCTTGATACCGGCATCCATTTAAAGCGAAATGCCCCCAACAAGCAGGAAAACTGTAATATACTTATTATCTCCGCTCTACGTGCATTGCAGAAATTGTGAGTAGTA